AGCAGGAATATATTCAGTGCAAATTGAGGAAGGACTCTTCAAACTTAAGGTGAACATTCAATTTCTGGGGCCCCTGGGGACAGTGGGACATAATCCCAAAATCCAAGCCTGTCTTGAGAAATGTGGAATGATCCATCACTTTACATTTTATAGACCAAATGTTGGAAATGACCCCTTGAATCTTAGCAGGGCTGCAACTATTCCTGGCATTAGCTGAATTATGAACTTTCCCCATAGATAATAAACCATCACTGTATCATTTATGTTGTGAGTTTGACTGCCTTCTTTAAGGCAGCACCAGTTTAATTCAGATTACACCTGTGGCCCTCTGGCCTAGTCTTTGTGATCATATCCCCAGTGGGTGGCTACACTCAGCAACTACATGGAACAACTACAAGTCACAGGTGATGGAAAAGCTAATATTTCACTTATAGGGAAATTCAGGTTGTTAGGAATGAATTTATCTACTTCATAAGCCAAACAAAAAGTAAAAGCAAAAAACAAAGATTCCAAGCTGAAGAATTGAGAAAGGTGGTCATGAAAAGGTCAGGATTTCACATGGAAAAGTATAGTTTCGAAATAACAAAAATACCTTATCTTTCATTTTTCAAATCTCATATTTTCCACAGTTTTAAGAATATACATACATAAAATTCCTTATCAGACGATATGCAGCCTCACATGCAACCAGTAGCACAGCATAAATAGTTCAAATTCAACTTTCACACCAGTAAATCATAAGAAGTCACTGAAATTGTCATCTCCCCCTTGTTTCCCCCTCACCCCCTCCAAAAAACAAGAATGGTCAAAAAGCTTTTAAAATATATCCTATTTAAGAGCTAAGGGCACTGTAATCATCATGTTCTTGAAGTCAATCAGATGCATGCAAATGCTTCATGAGATCACATTACAGTGCTTAATATAAAATATTTTTTGCCTATAAAGCAGTTCTACAAAAGTCTTTACCTGTGGACACACACACACACACACACACACATACACACATATATGTATGTATACATATATGTGTGTATATATGTATGTATATATGTGTTTGGATGTATGTATATTGTCACAACCAAATTAAGTAGTGCCCATGTCACAAACAAGTAAAACCATTCAAAACAGTTTTAGTCTGCACTAGGTTAACTAAGAGTTAACTAACAAGAAGATAGTAACAGTTTTTTGCTGCGCATGTCAAAAAGAAATTTATAACTGCGACACCAACATGAAATGAAACTTAGCCTTCTGTGCTGTACATAAATCATTATAATTGTCAGAGAAAACAGGGAGTAACCCTACTACAAACACCTAGCAAAAAACCACTATAATAATTGGTGATTCTAATTAAATTTATGACGTGGCGAAAATCAATTGGCTAGTACACAAACAAAACCCCGCTGCATTTCCACGTAGTCGGGGAAGAGTGACTCCGTATACACCTGGAGACCTCTGACATAGGTGTTAGAGAAAACCGGCAATTTGATCACTTGCCAGTTCGTCCCCCCGTCTTCGATTTTCTCAGACATAATCGACGACCCCGACCCGACAATTCTGCCCGACCAGTTGCGAACTTATGCAGACCGACCTACAAACCCTAAGCTGTAACTAACCAAGTATCTTTGACCTCCGTCTTTCACCACCTTGATGGAGTAAGTAAATAATCTTGCTTTGCAACCGATAAGCATCCGCCTAATTAATTCCACTCCATGCATCACAAGTACCCACCTGACGAACCCTTAACTGCCCGGGTGGGAGTCAGGGAGAGCTGCTGGCCGGCTGCCCTGGGTCCTGACATATATGTATGTATATATGTATATGTGTGTGTGTCTGGAGGGAGTTGGGCAGGGCTGGGGCTGGGGCTGCAGCTGTTGCCCAGCTGGGCAATGCCTGGGGCTTTGCCTGGGGCAATGCCTGGGGCTTGGGGCCTGGGGCAATGTGTGGCTGCAGGGTCCCAGCAGGGAGCAAGATGGGGCCATGGGTCACTCATCCATGGGGCAGGTGGTGGGGCTGACTCTCTGCAGCTACATGCACTGTCGGGGGCAACTGTGGCCCCCACATCGCTGCACAGGGCACATATATATGTGCCCACGGGTAAGGGCTTATGTAGAACTTCTTTATATGCAGCATCTTTTCCCAACAATATTACTTTCCACTAAAAAATTGATAGCACTCACACAAAGACAGTATTGACAGTTTGTTCATGAGATGTTTCTGACATGAGATTCACACCCAGTAGAAGTGTTACTCCTCTCCTTACCACTACCCTTGTCTTTCCTTCAGAGGCCTTGCATAATGCACAAAAGAGAGAAATGTCCAACCAAACCAAAGTGATTTGAATTCCTCCTCCTGGGGTTTTCTGATGTTTGGGAGCTCCAGCTCTTACACTTTGTTTCCTTTCTAGCAGCATACCTGGTAGCTATGGTTGGAAATCTCCTCATTATTACAGATCTGTTCACAGGGCTGGGGCTGTGTACTGCCTGTGACGGGACAGTAAGGGGAGCTCCTGTGTTGAGCCTCCCACCTCACTATGCCCGTCCACCTTCTGGACTCCACGTGTCCCTACAGGGGCTCCTAAGCCCTGGCAAACCCCCTTTCAAGCCCCACAACAGAGTCCGGCCAGGGAGTCCTGTGCCACCTTCATCATGTCAGTTAGCTTCTGATGAAAGCTGAGCACGTATTCTACCACGGAGGTCTTGGTGGATGAGATTTTCCCTTCCCACTCTTCTCTCCCCAAATCGAGAGGACCTCGAACTCGCCTCCCAAACATCAACTCAAAGGGCGAGAACCCAGTGGACTCCTGGGGCACCTCCTGGTAGGCAAAGAGCAGATGCAGCAGTTTCTCATCCCAGTCATTGGGGTTAGAGTCCACATAGGCCTTTAGCATACCCTTTGAGGTCCCATTGAACCTTTCCACCAGCCCATTTGTCTGAGGGTGGTAGGCTGCGGTCTTGAGGTGTTTCACCCCACAGCAGTCCCACAGGCACTTCATCACCTCCGCCATGAAGTTCCCACCCCGGTCCGTCAGGATCTCGGAGGGAAAACCCAGCTGGAAGAAGATCTTGGTTAGGGCATCAGCAACTGCAGGTGCCTCGGCGGAGGTCAAGGCAATTGCCTCTGGGTACCGCGTTGTGAAATCCACTGGAGTCAGGATGTATCTCTTCCCTCTACGAGTCTTATGCCTCAGAGGGCCGACAATGTCTATCCCCGCTCTTTGGAAGGGTTGATCAATGAGAGGGAGGGCTGCAGGGGAGCCTTTCTCTTGTCCCCACTTTTGCCTGTCTGCTGGCACGTCTCACAAGATCTGCAGTAGTCTGTCACATTCTGGGCAATTCTGGGCCAATAAAAGTTCACCTGGAGCCGCTGGTGTGTCCGTTCCCTGCCCATGTGACCAGCACACGGTAAATCGTGAGCCATGAAAAGCAACTGTTGTCTGAACTTACAAGGTACTACGAGCTGGCAACGGGGTTCCTAGGTCTCGGCATGGTTCTTCGGCACCCACAACCGATAGAGAAGTCCCTTATCCCAGACCACCTCTTCCCTCTTATCTGGGGTGAACTCTGTCTCTTGCTCCTGAGCCATCTGCTGGAGTCCCTCCAAGCTGGGGTCCTCTAGAGCCTCCTGCTTGAACTCCTCTTGCCCCACTAAGCACTCAGCAGACAGTTCTGGTGCTCCTGTAAGAAGTGCACCTGCACCCTCAGGGATGTCCTTGAACTTCTCCCCAAAAGTCTCAGTTTCCTCTGCCACTGACTGACCAGCCTCCTCCCTGGGACTGTCACTTAACCCAACCTCGAGGTCGCTGGTTTCCTCAATGGCCAGGG